CTATACCACTAAAAAAATACTTGTTTTGTATATTAATATGGTTAGGCAAGCAGGATTTTTATTTTTTAGAGACATGAAAAGTTTTATTAGAGACAGAGATCTAGGACAGGACACACTCAAAGAATGGAGTGCAGGTGCTCAGGGAAATGAGACATGATACAGCTGAGAACTAGGGATCTTGGATGAGTGGTGGAAATCTTTGGTATTTGATATAGTGTTAGTCTTGTCTCCCACCTCGTGGGTGGAAGGGGATGGCCCATCCATAGAGAGGTAATAGTGGGCAGGGAATGTAGCTCAGCAGCACAGCTTCTGCCTGCCAAGCTTGAGGCCCTGAGTTCAATTTCTGGTGCCAAAACCAAAAAACAAACAAACAAAAAACCCACAGTGAGCCAGGGATTTAGCTCAGTGGTTCTGCGCCTGCCTTGCAGGTATAAGGTCCTGAGTTTAAACCCTGCATGTGGCCTTCTCCAGAGAACGAAGATGTTCTAGACCTGACGTTGGCCTGAGGAGTAGGATCCCAGCAACACCTCTCAGGATCTGGATTTAGATGTTTCCTTGAGATTTGGACAATATAAAAGAAAGGCAGTCATGAGCATGCACTCAGACAAGGTCTCACTTTGTAGTTCAGCCTGGCCTTGAACTTGTTTTGTAAACTATACCAGCTTCAAACTCAGTGATCAGACTGTTTCAGACTACGTGCTGGGATTACAGGTGTTCACCGCCATGCCCAGTGAGGTGTGTGCTTTAATCTCTGTTCTTAGTCTCAGTTCCTATCTACTCAGCCCAAGGTCACTCCGCAGAGCCAGTTTCTCTCTTGCTCTTTACTTTTACTTTCTCAAGTAAATTCTACCACTGCTTTAGTTCATTTCTTTGTTATGAGAAGGACATTGAATCCAACATTTAGTTGGTGTTGGAAATGAGCCCCCAGATGCAAATTTTTGGTGCTAGAAAAAAATGCACTCAGGCAGCAAGCAGGAGACCTGGACAAGACAAAGTTTAAGGTATACTTCTGCAGAAGGGCACAAGTACACTCAGACGTGAGGCCGCAGTGCACCCAACAGCAAGGAAGGGGAGCTGGTTTAAGGTTTAAGCCCTCACACATGGGAAGCAGCTATTTTTTAAAATTCGTTGGATAAATTCAAAGGCATACAATCTATTGTGGTTGACTAATTTAAGCAGCATGAGGGAAAGAGCCAAAGCATTGCTGAAGGGAGGGAAGAATGGGGGTGGGGAGAAAGGGTACAAAGTCCTTGGCTATTGATAAGCTATCTTAGTCCTGTAGCTATATTTCCAGAAGTTAAACTGAGCATGCGTTTCCCAATTTCATTGGGTTTGGGTGGGACCACTTAGAGTGGACTAGAGTCTCAAATGGAGGTACTCTTGTTTGTATACTTTGATAGAAAAGACAGGGTTGCATTTTCTCACATTGGCAAGCCACTTTTTAGAAGCAACGTATTTTGTTTTGTTTTGTTTTGAGACAGGGTCTCGCTATGTAGTTGAGACTGACTTGGAACTCACTATGTAGCCCAGGCTGGTCTCGAACTCCTAGCGATCCTCCAGCCTCAGCCTCCCGAGTGCTGGGATTACAGGCATGCGCCACCACACGTGGCTAGAAGCAAACTATTTGATAACACATTCATATGGGAAATCCTAAAAAGGTGGTCTATTCATAGGTGACAGAGAACCATTAACAAGTAAAAAGGGAAGAGGCAAACCTATTTGCCCAAATGTAGTATGTTTTGGGGGAAGAAAAAGATAGATAGGACTTTAGTACAATTTTTAAAATCTTTATTTCCTAGTCATTTTTCCACCTAGTTTTTATTTCTTCTACTTCACTTGCTCCATTTGCCCCCCCCCCGCTTTTTTTTTGTACTGGGGATCAAACTCTGGTCCTTGCGCTTGTGAGGCAGGTGGCAGAACCACTAAGCCAAATCCCCGGCCCTTGGTCCCTTATTTTTAAGGGGGTGCAGAAGGCTTGACAGTCTGTCCTCATGTAACTGCTTCTTATTGAGGTGGGGCATTGATCCGGCCTAGGATCACCTCATCCTGACTCATCTAAAGGAGACACAGGAATATACACTAGGTCCTATCTTGAAGAACCGTCATCTTTCAACAGTTAAAGTTGAGATCTCGACATTCTTGGAGCCTCTTTTTAGGTGTCTTCATGATCGCCAAGATAAATGTCATCAGGCTGGGCCTATGGGTCTTCAAATCTGAAATAAAGAACTTAGCCCACTCTTTTAAAATCAGTTTGCAGGGCCAGGGATGTAGCTCAGCGATGCCTTGCCTGCCTGGCAAGTACAAGGTCCTGAGTTCAATCCCCGGTACTGAAAATATAAAATAAGTTTGCAGGTTCCTTCACTCCCATGACAGAAAAAGAATTTTCAGAATGCATTGAGTTAGGATAGAAGAAATAAAGGAAACAAGGACACTGAGATTTTTAAAATTGTACTTTAAAGAAAAACTGCAGCTTCAGAACACAAGTTTGGTTTATTTTTTTCTTTCTCTCAGAACAGCAAGGCTGGGAACTCCCTTACATCTGCAAACAGGTCTGCTCATTCACTTTTACTTGCAAATGGCCCTCTTTCTCCCATTAAGGGACCACCTTTGTGGGATTTTCCCATAGGAACATACCATTATCTCACTAGAGGTGGGCCATCCTCTCCAACCCACTAAGTCTAGACTAAGACTGTAGATTACTGAATTCCAGATTTCCACATCCCAAAACACATTAAAGATACCTAGTTCTTGTAGGGACAGGGGCCCCCGTAGATAGGGAAAAGATAGGATGAAGGAGGCCTCACTGAGCTTTATTAAAATTAATAGGAAAAAAAAAAAAAAAAAAAACAGGCCGGGCCAGGGATTTAGCTTAGTGGTTCCACCACCTGCCTTACAAGTACAAGGTTCCGAGTTTGATCCTTGGTATCAAACTAAGTAAATAAAATTAATAAGTATCTTCCTCGTCAGCATCCAGACTTGAGCACTTAGCCAGGTATGGTGGCGCACACCTGTAATCCCAGCACTCAGGAGGCTGAGGCAGGAGGATCGCTGGGAGTTTGAGACCAGCTTATGCTACATAGTGAGTTCCAGGTCAGTCTCAATTACATAGTGAGACCCTGTCTCAAAAAAACAAAACAAAACAAAACAAAAAACAATAACAAAAAAAAACAGACTTGAGCGCTTAGATGAAGGGAAAGAAATCAGGTCTACAAAGGTCCTAGGTAGCACGTTTAACATAAGACTCACACACTACCTCTTTATTTAATCCTTAAATTTAAACTACCTTTCCGTAAGGCCCCCAGCTACATTCAAGGACAGGGAAAAGTCAGGCCATAAGGAATCCAATGTTAGGATGAAAGACTAGCCAGGGAGCCCATCAGATTTGAGGAGCCTACTTGGGAGAAAGATCTCAATAAAAGGAGCCATGGAAGAGTATTTCACTTTTGGATACTTCCCATTCATCCGGAGAAGCTGTCTTCTCTCTCTCTTCAAACAAATCTTCTACTTTAAACTCTGCTTCTTTAGTTCTTTTGCTAACTCTGGGCTCAGAATTACCAGGAGCTGCATGTTCCAGCAGGGCAGTGGTAAGGTGTGGTAATGCATTGATATAGGGTGTATGACATAGGGATGATATATGGACCTTAAAATAATGTAAGGGAAATACTCTAACTCCCAACCTGTTAGATGTCTCATAGGTCAAGTTTGAGTTCTCTAAAATCAAAGACTGGATTCTAGGTGGTTAAGAGTAGGAATACATGAGAGAAAGATGGCTTCTAAGAGAGACAGAATGGGGCCCAGAAAGTGTGTTAACCGTGTGTGGGACTGCATAACTATGTAATCTTAAATTCCTAGTCTCAACTGTGATTAATCTAAATTAACAGGTGAACAGTTTAGTAGTTCTGGGTGAATAGATGAGATTGTTTCACTCCTTGTCTGCCGGGAAGGAATGTTTTGAAAACCTTGGGACATTCTGTAAGCATATGTTAACCAACAACACGTGACTGCCAAGTGCCCCCTGCCTATGTGCTTTGAGTATAGACCCCCACCCTGCCTATCCCCTTATAAAAACAGCCTAAGCCCCTGAGCCATGGCCTCTCGGAGCTACTTGGCTCCGGGAGTGCCGTCTGGCCAGACTAACAAAGGTCTGTTTTCCAACTAGTCTGGTGTGTTCCTTCCTGGGTGATTGTTGCTACTCATCAAGCTCCCGGAGCAACTGCTATAGGGTCTATAGGCCCCAGCATCTTGGAGGCCCTTTCGGCTGTTCAAGCTCCATGGAGTGGAAGTAAGGCCTTAGGTCTTACATGTGGATCTTGCTTCTTAAGGGAGTCTTATAGAGCAAAGCCACAAGGTGGGACAAAACTAAAGTCAACTAATAGAAACACAAGTATGGTCTACTTAGGTAATATTGATCCAATGGAAAATCATAAAGTGAGTATAAGGTGGGTCGAAACTATGATCAACTAATAAGATTATGAGTATAGTCACTTAAGTAATATTGATTAAATGGAGATCAAATGGGGAAGCAACAAGGATTTTCCAGGAAGAAATGGGTTAGGGAGGTTCATCCCCAGGGGAAGTATGTGGGTGTAGTTATTTTTTGTTGTTGTTGTTGTTTTGAAGGCTGACCTTTAAGGAATGAGCTCCAGCCACAGTTATATATTCTTATCTTCTTTTTTTTTTTTGTAGTTGAGACTGACCTGGAACTCACTATGTAGGCCAGGCTGGTCTCGAACTCACAGCGATTCTCCTGCCTCAGCCTCCAGAGTGCTGGGATCACAGGTGTGCACTACGCCCAGCAATACTCCACTTGAGTGCTTCCTAAATCTATCTCTAATAAATCTTATGCCTCTTTTATTCCTGAAAGTTCTTTTTTCCATGATGGGAGTCAGCAAACCTGTCATCAGATAGCTCGCCAACTAAATGTTACTGGGTTCTGGATTTCTCACCTCTCCCTCTGGAGTTAGATTCCAGGTTCTTTTCATCTCAAAGACTTGAACAAAATGAGCAAAAAGCAGTGGCCAATTTTACTGGAGAAAGTAAAAGTGAAGAGTTGGGGAGAAACTCTGCTGAGTGAGTTTGGGCTGAGTGAAGAGAATAAGGTAAAACCAGGGATTTAGCTCTGGTTCCACTGCCTGCTTCAGAAGCGCAAGATCCTAAGTTCGATCCCCAGTACCAAAAACAAGTAAAAGCAAAAATAAAAGTATATGCTGTATCTTGGAACAGTGTGCTCTTCACAGCATCTGTGTGGGTACTGGAACTGAACTCATGACCTTGTGCTTGCCAGGCAGGCCCAACACCACTGTCCTTTATACTGTCCAAATCTCAAGGAAAACCTCCAGAACTACATACGGGTCCTAAGAGGCAACGCTGGGCTCCGATATCTCAGGGTGGCTTCAGATCTAGGTCAGCCTATTGAAAACCTGCTCACATTCTCAGGAGAAGTCCACATGCAGGGCTCTGGGAGCTGTTCTGTGCTTGGGTACTGGGGATTGAACTCAGGACCTTATACTTGCAAGGTAGGAGGCAGAACCACTGAGCTAAATCCCCTGCCCTGGGATTTTGTAATTAAACAGGTCATGCCTACTTCCCCAGCCAGCATTGCCATGCCCTAATCTCATCTCCAACCCTCCTGCCTCAGCCTCCTGAGTTCTGGGATTACAGAAATGCACTACAACCCCAACCCCTTTGTAATTTGCTGCACTCAAGTTATTTTTCTGTTCAGACCCAGAGAGTGTTAGCTGAGAAAAGAGGATAAAATACTGCTACGTAGGGAGCTCATTTCCTGGCCTCACAGCTGCAGTGGCTTCTCTGAGTGGGAAAGGAAAAGAAGGAAACTCTCGCCTTGTGTGGTGATGCACACCTGTAAACCCAACTGAGGCAGGAGAACTGCTTGGCATTCAAGGTCATTTTGGGGCACAAATTGAGTTCAAGACCAGCCTGAACTACATAACAAGACCCTGTCTCAAAAATAAAACAAAACGAAGGCTGGGGATTTAGCTCAGTGGTTCCAACTTGCAAGTGCAAGGGCCCGAGTCTGATCCCCAGTACAAACAAAACAAAACAAAAAAACCCCAAAACCCCCAAAACCAAAAACAACAAAAAATAGACAAAGCAAAACAACAAAAAAATCAAACCCAATAAAAAAAACTCAGATTTGAGTTAAAATGGTAAAAGTCAGCACGCAAGTGGTTGTCCCTCTCTTCTAGGCATGAGAGCAGGTGACAGGATTGGATCAAGACATGGAGATGCATAACTGTCTTTTTCAGAGGTCACCTCACAAACCTACCTCCAGAGAAACTGCCCTCTACTTCACCCTACACCCTGGATTCTAAGTTTCTGTGTGGGTAAGAAGATAGGCAAAATTGCCGTTGCACGGGGAAGAACGAATTTCCCCTGGGTTTACAGGGCTAAATTTTAGGGGATGAGTTTTATATTTCCCACTTCACAAGCCAGTGCAAAGCACAAGTGAGGCACTGGTCTGGGAGCAAAATTTGTTGTCGCTTTTGTTTTTTTTGAGACAGGGTCTCATTATGTAGTTGACACTGACCTGAACACAATCTGTAGCCCAGGCTGGTCTCAAACTCACAGCGATCCTCCTGCCTCAGTCTCCCGAGTGCTGGGATTACAGGTGTGCGCCACCATGCCCTGACAGGGAGCAAAATTTGAGTGCTAAAGTGTATCCGTCACCACGTTAAGTGATATAAAATTTATTTTAACGACAAGTTAAAAAAAATCAGTTCGGAAACTACAACAATCTGGTACCTGTTTTCATAAATGAAATTTCCAGGGCTGGGATTACGGTGAGAAGACAGAACTAGTCAAGTTCAGGGAGTGGGTCCTGAATTTGAATTTTGATGTTTTGTTGGTTATGGATCTTTTTTATTTTGCATTCATCTTGATTTTTAAAAAATATTGTACTAGAATGTTTATCTGGATTACTAAATTTTTTGTCCTGTAAACCCATACGTTTTGCATCCCAGACCAGGGAAAATTTCTCGGAGCCCACAAAACTGCACCTCCCCGGTCGCAGGTTCAATTGTTCGGTCTCCTCGTTGCGAGGACCTGCATCCGCCGGTCTCAGGAGCGAGTTCAGGGCCTCACGCAGAGTGGTGACTCTTCCCATAGCCCCGGGCCACTCCCACTATATCGTCCAGCAGTGCTTCCGCGCCTCTGCCAAGGTTCTGCACCGGCCTGAGGTAACTCAGCAGTGGACCGCACTACTTCATAAGCCCAGTCTTCACCTAACCCCTGCTCCACCGCCTTGCGAGCGCCGCGCCTGCGCGCTCTGCCAGTCCCTCTCTGCCAAAAAGACCCAAATCTACAGGCGGGAGGATGGCGGAGTGCGAAAAAGTGCCCGCCCGCCCGCCATGCGCAGGCGCAGTCACCCTACCGGGTTCTGCAGCTCGCTGCCGGGCGGGGGCGCTCGAGGGCTCA